GGAGCTTGTGATGCAGCCAAGAGACCGACCCAAGCCGAAGAGCCGTCCCATGGCCCACGGACACACGCGCGTGGGTGAGGGAGGTGTTTAAAGGGGCTGATGTCTTCGAGACTTCGAGATTTGTGGTGTAGAGCTGGGGTGTTGACGAAGAGATGTCCCAGCGGTTTAAGGTTTAGGGTTTAGGGTTGGGCCCAAATGACCCGGAAAACATGCAGCAGCGGCCTGGCAATGATTTTTTGTCTTATAACGAGCCGAAAATGTTCCAGCATGCCCGACGGCTATTGTGACACCTGCTTTGTGTGGGCGCCCTTCGTAGCAACAAGGCTAGGCTGCGACCGCCCAGAATCCTAGTGCATGTTCCTGCTTGTTGCTGGGCTGTTGGGTTGGTATGGGGGGGCCTACCTGCTGAGCAAAAGCTGCGAGCAGAGACAAGCGCCCAGGGAGGAAGCGGGAACTTTGGAGCCCAGGATCTCGAGGAGTTCCGGCTGAGCCTTCGGCTGCTGTCAGTCTGATTGAAGCTACGCTGTGGCTTGCGGAAGATGCGCATAGCCATGCATAACATGGATCTCAGAAGTGTGCTGGGCTACTGGGTCGGTCTACACCTTCTTGCCGATGCTCCCGATTCTTCCCGGATGAGCCCCGGACAAGAACCACCCACACAGCGAGTTCAAGGCCCGGCTATATGGAACTTGTCGTCAACATACCATCCCAGCGGTGAAATGTAGGGGCCTTATAACAATTAGAATTAGAATAGGGTTTTGGGGGCCCAAAATACTATAATTATAATAAGGAGCCCCCAAAAAATAATGGGGGTAATTTATTGAAGCCCCTATATTAGGGCTTAGCTATGTTGTAGGACCTGGGAGACATGAACAAGCTAGAAACCGACCCGGCGAAGGGGCCCCCAATCATTCACAGCATCCTCCTGCCTGCGACAAGATGACATCCATGACGGCGAAAGTCACCAGAAAGCAGTCCAGCCTCACCCAGTTACCTCAGAAGCATAGATGCCCAACACTGTTCCCGTTTTGAAATCTCAAGCTTCCATTCTCGACCCCGGGTTGGATGAGAAAAAAAAGCGCTGGCTGTCTCGGAGAATTTTATCCCATGATGAGGCCACTGACAGCAGGCAGTTTGGGCTTTGAGGTCTAGACGTGCGAGGAGTCTGCGTTTTAAATCCGGATTTTCGCAGCCTGATCTAGGATTCGTTCAGAAGTTCAGAAATTCAATGTGAGTTACGGCTACGGCCGCTTACTGCTGCTATTGCTACTGCTGCTGCTGCTGCTGCTCCTACTACTGCCACCACAACTACTTGTGTGTCAACAAGTAGTAGGAGTAGTAGTAGTAGTAGTAGTAGTAGTAGTAGTAGTATCAGTAGTAGTAGTAGTAGTAGTAGTAGTACTACTACTACTACTACTACTGCTGCTACTACGACGAC